TTGCACCTGGCCGATTTGGTGGGCAGGATCCTGAAGAGCCGTGAGTATCACTATCTATGTTCTGTGTCAAGGAGATTGGATCTAGGAATAATTAGGAACATACTTGATCGTCCAAAGGTGTATAATAGATAATATATTTAGTGATGTTTCCATTCGGAATTAGTGGTGGATCCCATTGTACCGATATTGTCACGGGCTTGTCAGCATGAAGTTGGACGTTCTCTGGAGCAGTTCCTGGGCCTGAAAAATTACATCTCAGAAGTTCAATTCAGACTGATACCTCTTCATCATGGCCTCGCATCTGAATCTCTCACTTTACATGGCACATTAAAATAGCTCCTTTAAAGCATGTCGCATGACAGTAGGATGGAATTTGTTGAAATTTTGAAATTAAATTCTGAAGAGGAGATGCTAAGCTTGCTGCCGACGAAGAAAACAAGCACTACAAATCGTGGGAAATGTCCAATCAGAATTTGATAATGTGTAGCTTATATCGCCTCGAATGTCGGGGAAAAGTGTCTTTTTTGCCTCCCCCCTGTGTACAGAATAGAGTACACTTCTCAGGTAGCTGCGGATTTTTTCAAGCATTTCGTTCAAAATTGACCTGCTACAAATATAGTAAAGTCGGTCTCTTTGAGTCCTCCTCTGTTCTCAGCTAAACATTTCGCCTTCACTGTTCTTCTCACGTCGATCAACTTCAACTGCGGACCATCAGATAATTGCTGAAAGTAATCATGTGAAAGTCTAGTAGCTATTGATATAAGGCTCTTATTGCAGTTTCATTACATTTCCTTCGCTATCCACCCAGCGAATATCAGGCGGAGGGAAACCAGTAGAAGTGCATGTAACTGTATAGTCCGTTCCGGCAGGGACACGAATCACATTGTCGGGAGCATCTACATTGAACTCTGGCTGCGAAGGCATGATAACTGAAAGACGTATATCAAAATCAATCAACGTCTTAGTGAAGCTCCATGGTCTTGACCCCCCCCCCCTTTTTGGCCCACTCAGTCCACTGTCGGGAAAAAAATCAGCAATTCTGTTCTAACCCCTTGTTGAAGACTTGGACGTGCTATTGATCTGAATTACCAAGGAATAGCTCTGTTTTACTGAAAGTTAAGGGCTAAACTTGCTGTCTTTGGTGTTAGGAGCAATCTTAGACCAGCGTCAGAAAGAGTCGTTATGGTTGGACTCGGGTTTCGTTGACATGATTGCTCATCAGGGGACGTCCGACCGCTGAGGAAAATTTTCCGGAAGTACGACTCCCTCTAAAGCCCTTCTCTGATACGACTACCCCAGTCCCCCATCCTACCTACCCTTTCCCAGATTTTGCCCAACCTCCTACCTCTTTTCCAGTTTTCCAGAAAATTTTTTATTTTCCCCCAAGATTCCCCCCTCCCTCTCCCAACAACGAGTACGTATGATTCCCTCCCCTTTATAGCGTCCGTGAAACCATAAGAATCTACTATTAAAAAATTTTCTCGGACCAGGTGCGACCTGATCCGAGAGAAATTGGTGGAAAAATTGGAGGGGGGGGGTTCGTATTTAGTGGTGTGGTGTCTCCACCCAGGCACTAAATACGAACCCCCTCTCCCGGCCGCTGGGGATTCCCCAGCGTGGATGTTCGGCGGTGTTCCAAGTCGTATTTCAGCGTTGGAATGGGGTGTCTACGGACTTAGCTGTGGGCACGGACGAATGTGTGGGAAGTTGTCAGTTCGTGCACAAACTAGCGTAGCGATGGGAGACACATTGATATTTTCTTGTGCCGTTCGCGGGCAAGGTAGCTGTGGAGATCCACCAATTTCTCCGGGATAACCTAGATTACCCTGTTGCCATACAGGCACCCATTGCTCGACTCAAGCGTTAGTTTACTTCAAATTGCGGAGTTTGCCTCCAGTGGATGTACAAGAACTAGAGGAAACAGAAGCTATACACTTTCCACAGCGGATGCGATGTATCAGGCTGTGCCTTCTGACAGCTTTTGAGCCCAGGGATTTTACCACATCGAAAGAAGAAGATCATATCCCCATCGAAAGAGCATTAAGGAAAAGCTCACCTCCATCTCCAGTTGTGAAAGTGGTTACGTCACTGGTAGGTCCATCGATTTCGCCTCGAGGAATAATTCGCATGTGGTATTTGGTGTCTGGATTGAAGTTCTCACCGTCAATTGGTACAACCTGAATTGAATCTCAGTAATAACCATAAATGTCATTGAATGAAAGTGAGTGAAAGCTTTTCGGAAGAGATAGACTCCTACAGTGTAATTGTCGGTGTCATCTGGATCAGTATAGCGAAGTTCCTTCCATTCTGTTTCGTCAGTAGGTGGATCTTCAGACGTGTACTGGATAACAAAATCCTGCAAAAAAATCTCCGGTTCAGGTCTTATCGCTGGCTACAGGACCGAGACTAGGACCATTCTCCTCGGAGGAGCAGAAATGCTCAAAAATTCTCAAAACAGACGTAATAAATGAATATGCTTTGTTAGCCTTCCGAGATTGATACAGACGCTTTATTATGCTGGTTTAGAGCGAAAAATTCTTTCTTGCGAGCTTTTTATTGATGTGAGCTCTGCCCGGCACGCCGGACTATCCTCAAACCGACCGTGTCCATAATACGTCACCACGCAAAGGTGTTCTAAACAGAGCCGAGAGCGGAGGGAACTTCCTTTTCAGCTTATTCCCGTAACTGTTTTTTATCTACACATTGCGGCAACTGCCGCAAACTGCCTAGTTGACTTGACAATGCAGCTGTACCAGGTGAACGTGGTCCTGGTCTACCTGACCCCAATTCCGATTCCGCTTTTGCCGCCCTCACCGCAGCTGGAACTACCCATCTCCCCTCTCGAAAATTACCGCACGCATGGATCGAGTAGTGTGTACAGCTTTGGAGATTCGTTTTCATTGTAATGGCGCACCTTGATCTGTTTTTTCGGCTTGTCAGGATCTGCAGGCGGTACGAAGTCTATTACTATGGAATTATTGTTAAACACAGTGACTTCGGGGCTTTCCACTTTGGCCGGAGCTGAAACAAACACATTGTTCATTGGCATAAAGCATCAAGATAAAAGAGAATGCTGACCAAGTGGAAGTGTGCGGATTGTCTGGGGAGCTGAGATTACTCCTGGACCACGATCGCTAACGGCTTGCACGCGGACAGCATAGGTCTTCTTGGGGTCCAGATTTGGCAGTTGATGGTTCACGTCTACAGCATCAACTGTTGCCTGTTTCCATTCGGTTGGTTCCGTCGCTCCTGAAACCTCTACTATTACTGCTAATCTTCACAAGGTACCCCAAACGGCGGCAGCCAGACCTAGCCATTAGGTTTGTGAAGGAATTTGAGAATTAATTAAAAAGTTAAAACCTTCTGGCACTTCTCCATAATGTACGATGTAGTTTGTGATACGTCCGTTCACTTCATCTGGTGTCGTCCATTCCACATTAATCACTTGATTAGGCATTGGAAGCAGAACGATTTCATTTGGAGGGGTACCAGGACCTGCAATCATGGACTCTCTTCCAAAATCACTCTTCCAAATCAAAATCGACTTTGTTGACCGTTACTCACCAGAAACCTGGATTTGTACGACTTCCTGACTCATTCCTGCCCTGTTCTCTGCACGACATGTAGCAGAGGTGTCCTGAAACCCAAGTTATCATTGTCATATACTGTGATGTATGACTACCACCTACCTTGATGAGATTAGTGAGTTGTAGCGCTCTTCCATCGACTTTTTCGCCGTTTTCAAGTACCCAGTAAACTGTGGGCTGCGGTAATCCAGTGGCAGTACAAATAATGTTGACCGATCCTCTCGGTTCCACAGGGACCACGTTCTTCGGCGGATCCAAGGTGATTGTAGGCGGCATTTCTGAAGAAGTTTCCCGGAGATGCAATATTCATTTGACTCATTGGCTTTCATTTACCTCCACTTCCAGTTTCGAAGAGTGTCGGTTCCGATGCTGGTCCTTCAGACTGATCATTCGTAGCCGAAATTCGTACCTGAAACTCTGCCCTTTGAGTAATTCCGTGGAAGTCCCATGTGGTGAGAAATTCGTTGGCAGATAACAGAGTTGCCCCTCATGCCTGGTACACCCACCTTGTAAGGAGTGTTAGGCTTGATGTCGTACTGATCCTTGTCGATGATGACGTTGCCATGGTCATCGCTTGTTGGAACTTCAATTCGGGGCCAATTTCGGTAGTCATCGTCTGCCGTTCCATCATCAGGAGTGAAATAGATGTTGTAAGACTGCAATTACAAGTTCGCCTTCAAGTGGCACTGGAACCTAATTTGAAACTGTCTCAATACCTTAATCGGTCCATTGGGTTCTTTCGGTCCAAACCAACTGATATTGACCGTATTGTCATCGGAAACAATCGGTAAGATATCGGATGGGCTATCGATCGGAGCTGAAATCGATGCAAAGTAGAACTTCTCAAGCCATTAGTCCTTATCAGAATGTGTTAGAAATACAAGCAATTAATGACTAACCTCCACTGACTGTTGTGAAGGGCGATGCGTCTGAGTGTACTCCTTCTCCAGATGGATTAACGGCAGCAATCTTCACATAGTACGGGCTTTCCGGCTCCAATTCACCACGAGCAAAAACGATTTTCGGCTCACTCGGATCCCTCACTTCGAACCTCTGCCACTGATCGACCGGCTGTGATGGATCTCCGGTCAGGTAGACGTTATAGCTCTGCAAATAGTAGTTTCCCAGTCCATGTCACTTGCAACGCAGAATCTTAATGTACCGTAATCTCCCCATTGGGATGCTTTGGCGGTTCCCACGTAAGTGTTACTCTGTTGTCTGGGTCCACGATCACCTTCACATCTCTTGGCGGACTGCCAGGTTCTGAAGAAATAGGCTTTTTAATCAATGGTCTAGGATATGCAACGAACTACGATTCATTGAGGATATTCTGAGCGATCAGAATAAATCATATAGTAACTTTTCTGAAGTTTGAATTTGACGACGGCGGAAAAATCGGTGGAGTATCGAAAATGACAACCAATTTCTCGGTAACCCCACAAGAGTACATATTGCTTGACCTGACGACCGGGACATCACTGAGTAAGGATTTTGGTCCCGGTGCGCCCCCCCCCCCCCCCCGCCCTAAAGAGTGGCTTGATACAACTCTCCCCCCTAAGTTTTCACTTCCGATACGATCGACGCTGTCGAGCGAGGGACGGAACACACAGCAAATTAACTGAGACGAGAAAACCGCGAGGAAGTGAGACCCCTCTTCTCCCGTCCCTACACCACCTTTCCAGTTTTCTGCGAATTTCCCGAAAAATTTTTCTTTCCCAAGGTTTGTATTCTCCGATAACGATGTCAATATGACCCCGCCCTCAATGTAATCCGTGCGAACAAAAAGAATCACTACTCATAGTAATTTTCTAGGACCGAAAGCGCAAACCCCCCTCCCACAGCGACCAATTGCGATTCCCCCTGTTGGGGATCCCCAACGATGATGTGTTCTGGCACCGGAGCGCTCGTTCATAAAAACTCCAAGAATTCTTCCTCAATGATTTCCTAGAATGGGTTGAAAAGAAATCGAAGCAGTCTATGTCTTACTATTCACGATGAAGAAGTGCTTGTCCTCTACCGTGCCGTCAGGATTTCTCGCTTGACAAAGCAGAGTCCTTTCTTCGTCGATGTCGTCGAAATAGCACTCTGGTAATCGAATCTAACCAATTATGATTTTTCTTATGACGGTGCGCAGCTTAGATTAGTTAGCAGCCAAATTCGTGATAAGTTAATCGGGCAGTTTGGCGAGGGAGGGGCATTTTGCACTTTTGCTACTTCCCCTTGACATGTCGACCCATTTATAGAGCTGTTTCGTGAGCTTACAAGAGCTCACAGGTTCAGCCAGACAGGTTTGACCAGAGTGAGCCATGTAAGCCGAAAAATGTGAAGCAGCGGAAGTGCAAAACGCCACCCCCTCTCCCTTCGCCGAAGTGTGTCCGTGAATCTCCTAGGCCTCTTTTGGCCTTCTTACGCTAGCGATTTCATTTACCCCGTTCCTTATTTCACAATTTCCTCAAGCGTTCAAAGTGCTACGATTTCGTGGAGACTTGCTGGTTCTTTCGCAATGTATTTCATCTTATTTTACTATTTTCTCGAGAAGAGATTTTTTAATTCCGCGCAAGTGAAGACAAAGTTTCCTGCAAAATTTACCTGTATTGAATTGTAGCGATGCTCTTGTGATGGATCTGGATGGATAGGAATGGGAACAGGTTCCTGAAAGTATGGTCATTTTAGCAGTAGTCGTGCTAGAAAAAAAAATCGAAGGTTTCGGGCAATGTGGGATGTTTCGATCCTATTCAGTGAGAACGCCAGCTAAGTCTCTACGGTTTGAGCGGAAAGATTTGCCATTCGCCCAACGAGCTTGGTGGGCTGAGTGGATCTCGGACAAGGGGAGGATCTCTAAATAAAAGGCCCCAAGGCTTCGTAACCCAATTCCAGGTGCAACATTTGCAAGGGGTACATACCAAGCCTTCCAGCCGACGTGGGAGATCCCTGCTTCACCATAATAATTGCAGAACGAATTTAGTCCTTCAGGTATTAGTGGTACAAGCGATTATTTATTCTACTGGAGAACTGTGTTCAAATTTGTTTCATTGTGTGCCTTAAAATTCATTCTCAGAGGATTAACACTCACATCGCCGCTTTCTGTCGAGTTCATCGGCAGCCAGCTGTACGAAACGCTTGGCATCGGACGTCCTTCAGCCACGCATCTGAACAAATAAGGGTCCAGAGGAAATGATTGTCTTTCTAGAAAATATTATTCTCAGAAAAAGTACCCCGTACCTGAAGTGAATTGGCTGCGCTGGTTCGACTTCAGTTTCGGTATCGGATTCAGAAACAGGAGGATCGCTGATTTCGAGCCGAACAGTGAGAGGAATCTCTGGAATCATTGAGTGCTTATCGTGGACCGTGAAGGGGACAAGGTGGACCGCTTCGGAAAATCTACTCACGTTTCCTTCCAGTAGTCACCTCATAGGCTTCTGAGATGATTCCAGGACCATCTTTTGTTGCTGCCTGCACCTTGACCACATAGGGGGTATCTTCATCATCAACATGTACTGTGAGATTCCTGAAGCTCACGAAAACTCATCCTCTGTTGAACATCACACATAGAATGGAGACATAAGCTTGGCCCCATCTTGTCGTGGAATCATACTTGTTTCTTAAAGGCAGTTGGCACGATAAATCCCCCAAGACGACTAGGATCAATACTCCTGGCAGGATAGAATTCCGCGACCCTGGGCAGGCGCTGCATAGCGGTTTCCCCGAGGAAGGTGCCCTTATAAGGGCCCTATCAAGCCACAACTTTACGTCCCAAACGCCCGCCACGCCCGCCCG